TAACCACTATTTACAACTTTCCTCAACAACCTTCATATCCTTAAGTTGGCAGACATGACGTTATCTCAGCCCTGAAGCACTGTGGGGTTTGAAAATTATTCTTCCAGTGATTTTCACCAATTTAAAAGATGAGCAGTACTCTTTCAAATATAGACAATGGGTTGACCTCTATATTTTCACTACTTTAAAAGATGAGCAGTACTCATTCTTGTCTCCTCAAACCTTCTCTGCTTGAAGTTGTCTTCTACCAGTACCATCGTTTCAATCATTCTCACCTTCCAATTTTTTCCCAATGGCCAGTCCAGGGTGTAGACTTCCTTGAAAGGGATAGTGTAGCTTGCATATTCCAAAACACAGCTACACTTCAAGATTCATTAAACTTAACATGCAAATTTTTTCTTTCTTTGATACCCAAAATCCCTTCGACTTTCCCTACATGCTCATTGGATTCTAAACTGGGAACCACTTCAGATCCTACGGCTAAGTAACAAAGAAGCTTATGGAATATAATATTCCCAATACACCCCAAGGGGATTTCAAACCTTGACCTCTTGGTTCAGAAGTAAGCTTTCACCACCAAACCTCTAAACTTTGGGTTAATAGTAGCTTAGCGCTCTGCAGCATGCTTTTCATGATAGCCACTTAACTCAAACCCCTGAGGCTGCAAATAGAATATCAAGTATATTTCTAGCTACCATTGTATATACTCTTCTCATATAATTCCATAAATGAGTCTGATATTTCAGATAACGATGTCAAAGATCCATATAGTCCAAGTCTAAAAGATACTATTGCAGCATAAGCAAAAGTAATACCTGCAAAGTTGATACTGCAAGCTCTGCTGCCTTGTCGAGGTTATCAGGATATTTCTGGAGAGCACAAAGTGAATATATAATAAAAAAAATAGACATCATTGATTGGCTTGCCAGAGACTGAACTAAACTTCAAACATTAAAGAGGCATTACATTACTCCATCCAAGTAGGAGTGCAGTCACTAGATCTCCTGTCCCCTACAAGCATAAGCAAATATAAAGCAATGTAAGCATTATACAGAAGGCAAAGCAATGACAACAAAATTGAAAAATATCAAATAAAATGAAGAACAAGGGTTTATGGTCAATTATTACTGTACCTAAAGAAAAACCTCTATTTCCAATTACTGATACAAAACTTAAGTCATCTATAAAATCAAGAAAACAATCCTATCATTCTTCCTTTTCATTTTTACTGATTGATACAGAAAAGTGCATCCCATTTTCTCATACAATCAGTTTCACAGAGAATTTGACATTAATAAAGAAGTCTTGAACATGTTTAATACAACAACAAAGCACCTGAAGCTGTTTCTAAAGGACCAACAGCATTATCTGCAATCAATACATCTTATTTATTACAGGTTCAAAATCTCTTTTTAAGCAAGTTAACCCATTCAAATCAAATGCCTGCTTGGTTGCACAAATTTTTTTGGATAGCTCCCAGTAGTCTTCCAATTCAATTGACCTTTCCCATTATATATATGTTTACCATTGTATTTTTAACAAGTTTTTAAACCATATCCTTCATTTCTTGAGGACCTAGACATCCACTTGCCGCTTGTTAACCACATTGTTGAGGACAATTGTTGCACACATCTATGTAGTTGAGGGAAAGGAAAGATAACAGAAATTTGGATTAGTTGCATTAAGGTTGTACATAACTCCAGGTTAGACCAATCAGAGCTCGATAACAGCTATTGCATCTGATTAAGTTTACAAAATAACATACTAACACCAGTGACAAAGATTCAAAAGCATGTAATGCAACCCTACTCATTCATGATATCATTCAAGAATTCCAGGTGGATATTTTTCTACAGCAGCAAATCAATAAGCTGTATATACCTTCGAAAGTTATTCATAACAAAAATTTACATACTGTGAAATAAGCAGCAATTTTGGGTATCAGAATCTTGAATTGCTCAGAAGACTGGCCCTGTCAAAGATAAGTATGAGTATATAAGTTATGTGCATTTCCAAATGCCATGGGTTGAAATTTTACACACTTTCAGAAAAGCTTAAATTTTAGTGTATATCCATATAACATATGATCACACCAAATGTGGTAATAAGGACCTGTTCACAAAACTCATGGTATTATGAGGAACCCCACTGAACCCAAAAGTAAAATCAAAATTTTAAGCAGCAAAACATAAAGACAGCCTACCTTTTCCTTCTGATGGCTGCCAATGAGAAGAAGATTGCCATCTATATTAATGCTTGTAATCACAACCTGATAAATTTAAAAGACACTATGTTACAAGAAGGAAAAAAGTAAGAGACTTAAATTTACACCGACAGGCAGTTCACAGACAACTTTTTGGAAAAAGTAAAACACGAGTGTACATGAGCTGGAAAACAGATGACTGATTGAATTTTTGAGCAAGATGCTCTTTTTTCCCGGATAGGAAACAAACAAATGCTCGGTGTCAATCAAGTGTGTAAGACAACAAACAAATTTCTTATTGCCTGGAAAGAGAAGCAGAGGAAAAGAGACTTTAAAAAAGGGGAGCTCCTACCAAGGTTCCAACAAACAAGAACCCGGGTAATTACAGATCGGAGCTATCCAGTGAAACAATCCATTATATCCAACTCATATCATATTGTATAACTTTCATGAATTTTGGAAATTGAGGAAGTTGATTGTTCATGATTACATAAATAAATTGCCCACGAACATAAAAGCTGTAGCCAATGAGTCGTCAAACTTGAACCAATAGGATCAAGAATGAATTTTTAGCACAAGTAGACTGATCAACTGTCACACCATTTTTTCCCATTACATTTCCAACAAATTGTAATATCTTATCTGTAAACTTCAGCTACACTTTTCATTCATGCCTGAGATCATGATTGTTGATTGGTCAATCACTTTCATGAGGATTAGTCTGTACATATCATTGCTTGAGCGCAAAAACAGAGTTTCCTTCTTTCTAATAAGAGCAGATCCTACCACCAACCCTTTAGCAGCATTAGTTCGGTTCATCTATTAAGATTTTTGTGAACTCAGACTTACATCATATAGTTGAAATTTCCCTAGATGAATAATTTTCCCCTTCTATCAAGGTAAAAGAACCAAAAGATTAGTTTATTAATGAAAGACATTATTAACTTCATATTCCACCTCCCGAGGATAATAAAAACAAATTAAACAGGCAAAATAAAACAGGAACTAAAGAAGCTAAAAAATCAAGAGAGAGAAAAGGTTGTAGAATCAAAGTAAGTATTAGGGAAAAACTATTAAAAAAAAAAAAAAAACCTTTGGAGGTCCAGCAGCATGAAGAATCTTACAGGCTTCCCTGCCATCTGCTTCGGAAACAATTCTGTGGAAAGCAAATCTTCTCAGAATGTGAAAGAATGAAGTGAGCATCCAATATACAGTAAAATAGAATAAGCATAAGAAGAATTATACATGAAATTGTGGTAGTTACAGACTCAAGTAAAACTTATCAATTGACAGAAATCAGATTTCAATGAAGATTCAATATACCATAACTGATTCCACTATTCTTTATGAGAAATTGTAACTAGTAAAAGTCCTATTTTGATGGTACTAATAAACTCCAAAATGATATAGAATTGGAGGATAAGTAAAGTTGGAAAGTGCTTGAAATACATGAGTCACACATCCATATGCACACAAGCAACAAAAGGAAAGAAATCCTATGGTAGTGGGGTGGGGGAAGAAAAAGAGAGAAACAGAGGGACAGAAGAAATAACAGTGCAGCAACTAGCTTCACATTTAGCCAAAAATGTGTCATCATTATCGCTCATTTGTAAATCGAGGCACATTAGTAACCAAGTAGAGAAAGATCCACTCTTGATATCAAGTCAAATATTTAAGTTAAGTGAATTATATAAACCAACATGAACAGAGAAGGTATCCTCTTGGGTTTATCACTTTATTCTTCTTAATCATTTTTTTTTTTTTTTTTTTTTGGGGCAAAAGCTCCGTCAGGGCTAAGGTAGCAACTCTGATAGCTTCTCAGGTGTCAGTATGTGAATTTCAATGTTCTAATTTGTGTCCAGTATTTTGTTATAGACAAATTCCTTCTATATTTTGTAGTCTCCATTTCATAAATAATTCAAAGATGATGCTGAATTAAATATAGCCAGAATAATCCAACATTGGAACAAAAAATGAACATGGTAAGCTTCACAAATATCACTCACAAGTACCAGCAAGTACCTCAACCCAGTCAACTGTTCTGCTTCAAACTGGTTAGGAGTCAACATTGAAGCCACTGGAACAACCTAACCACATGGAATGCCACCACAATGTGATAATACTATCAGTATTTTTAACCAAATCTAATCACTGCACAAGGCATGTAGAATTTGGAAAACATTCAAGACCATGCAACAATTATTGCTTAAACAAGCTCTCCAATCTAAATGATCGCACTCAAATACAAAAAGTTCTGCATATTTATTATCATAAACTCGAGCATTAATGAGAATCAAACAACTATTACAACTAAGTAATTCACAGAAGAAAAATAATGAAATGCACATAAACACAATGTCTGCAATAATTGGATTGCTTACCTTCTCACGGTATACTAATACCAGCTCAGGAGGTACATAAAGCTTCCCTTCATCACCCATCACTGGATCACAAACTAGACAAGAAATACAATATTTTAGCAAACATGCATTTATTTAATTTCTCTTTGGATAAACAAGGTACATCGGCAAAATTATACAAAACTGCAATATGTGTATTCCACTGCACCTAGCTAGAACATGACATAAGAGGCGAGCAGCAAGTCTATTATGACCTAGAGACAACTAGATAGACAAATCCTGTGAACAAAGAATGAAGCATGAACGCTAAGAGGCAGCCTTAGGAGCTTAGCTACACCAACTTGAAATTGTGACAGTAAACTAGTGAACTGATTTTTTTTAAAATCTGATACAAATACAACAGCAAACGAAAATATCACAACACTCGTAGTTAAAATTAGAAAAGGGTGTCAATTTCATTTATTTCCAGAAGAATGGGAATGGCCTCTCACTCTATCTATTGCCAAAATAAAAGATATAGTTTCATCATATTTCCAGTACCCATGAGAGATTCAAGTTGCACATAATTTTAATAACTTTGCAAAGGAAATATGCTCACTTTGATCTATACAACTAGTAAGTGAATTGAGAAAAAACCAAAACACAAATTGGACAATAACAAACCTTAAATTCAGTAACCACAGACTCACAGACAGAGAAAAAAAAAAAAAAAAGGTAAGGTGTAATATCATCAAAGAGATCTAGACATTTAAATAATGTTTGAAAAGAAGTGTAATAAATTCATGACATTCAAAACCTACCATAAGTAACTTTTGGATTTACAGAACGAAGCTTCTCAACAACTTTCAATACAGTGTTTAAAAAGGATACCGAACCAATATAACCTGCAAGTAAACCAGTTGAAAAGAAACATAAGATTTCCAATATGGTATATAAACATTCCCGAAACACAAGTAGCCATAATAGCACTAAAAGGTAATTCCGCTAGGTCAAAAGATCAACTTATGTATGAAATTAGGCAACTAAATTTGACATACCTGTTAATAAATGAGTGTAGTATAATAAATCATTTGCCTCGAGGCCTTCTATTAATTCCCATAGTTGCTGTCCATTTAAAACTTGGCCTTTGAAGGTTGGATATCCTGGATAACATTGATTAAACCATAACTTAGACTAAAGTAGGCAATGGCTTTTTCCCTAAACTTATATAGTTTGACAGATGACATCGCACCATATGTCAAGCCTCATAGTTCTGAGATTTTTGAGTAGAAGTGTAAGCAGCTTGCCTGTGTGGTTTGAAAATTGTACAGAATTGATAGGATCCACATCGTAGCCTAATAGTTGGAGAGGAAATACAGCTGATTTATTTCCAACATATCCCTGGGGAACAAAAAAGAATAGCAGCAACGTTAAGATGGTAATAAGCAACACAGATGAAACCAAGAACTCTGCCAAGTGTTAGCAGCATACAGTAGAATGATAGAGATAGACACCTATCAACAATTTTCACTCTATATACACGCAGACATGTTTATTACTTCAACATGTAAGCAAAACAGGGGACAGCTTTTGTCACCCAAAATGGCAGATTTAAAGAAACATATAACCACGACAAAGAGAAGATACAATTATTAACACTCATTTAGCTATCAATTATGTATTACTCCTAATGGCATAACTCCAACTCCTCCAAACATGAAATACAGCTAGCATACTCAGCTCCTTTCCCGTCATAGAGAAAAAAAAAAAAGCCGATGGCTTACCTTACCTAAAATTAAGTACCGGGAAAAAAATTTACAATCAAAACAAGGAGGCAACATTTTTTCATATTCCCTCATACTCTCACTTTTTTATAACCCTCTGTCATGACTGATGGCAAATGTAGTAATCTGAGTTGTACATAGCACAAAGCATCAAAGGACATATCTAGCAGTTTCATAATAGAAATCAACTTTTAACTTATTAAAAGATCCAAGAATAGGTAGCTCTTATCTTCTTTAAACCACCTCCTTTCATAATAGAAATTAATTATTAATTATTTTTGCTTCACATTATCACCCAAGGACCAGAAACATGAGTCACAGCTTTTCTCAATCTGATATGTATACATCTTGCAGAGTACACGATAATACAGTAATTTCACACGGCATGCAATGAACTCCAGCACAATTATTATTATAATCAAGTTCTTTCACGCAATTAAAAAAATTAAAAAAAAAAAGAAAAAAAGAAAGAAACAGAAGACAAAATGAGCTACCTGAACAGTGTGCGACTGAATGCTCAAAACTCGACCAGTCTCAGAAGGCAAAGCCAGTGAGAGAATCGGAGGCGCCATTCCTAACTTTCTCAAGCTTCGCCTCCTTCAAATCCAATCAGACTTCATCAAATTAAAGCAAAAAAAAATCGACAATAATGAAGAAAGATTCTCGGGAAAATATTTAAAATTTACCAGAAAGCGTGATTTTCTGGGAAAATGCCCAAACGAGGACGGCTACTGATTAAAAACTGTTGCGTAGACAGCATTTCAACGCTTTGTGTTTGGTGAATGGTATTTATAGTTGCACATTAGCGTGACGGTGAGTTTTCATGGAATGACCATAATGCCGCAACAGGATTTGCCGTCATTTGCGGAGGCAGTGAGGGTAATTTGGGGTTTTGATTTACGTGGATGTCGATTCTGAGTTGGAGTCTTGACCAGTTATAATTCTGTGCGATTTCACGTTGTTTGCAACTGTGATATGAAAATTATGAATTGGCCATTACATAAACTTAAAATTCAAGTAAGGACTAAGGCCACATGTAAATTAAAAAAATTAGAAATATTAATAATAATAAATTTTTAAAATATTCCACATAATAATAGAATAGATACAACCTGTTACTCGACAACTCTTTGGCAGTGATAAAAAGAATATTTGGAATTTCATATTGATTTGTTAGTTAATGTGGCTTTATAAATAGTTAAAAAAAAAAAAAAAAAAAACCTTCTCCAACGCAAGAATTAATTTCGTTCGTCAGTGGAAAATTTTTAAGTATCAACCATCCAAAAAAAATCTAATAATTATTATGAATTTTAATACTTTAATTGATTTTTTATTTATTTTGGAACAGTTTTTAATAATTTCACATCAGTATTTAATAAACGAAATTAACCCTAATATAAAAGTTATTTTCAATTATTCTACAAGTTACTTGTTTTTCATTGCAATTACATCATCGAATCTGATAATTTTTTTTTCAAGTTTTTATTAAACTTTATATTATCTTAAGTACATCTAAATAATTATATAGACATCATAACATGACATATTTATAACAGGGAGAAAGACATTTTCTAACCGAAGGTTTTACAAAACAACACTTTCCTACCCATCAAATTTCAAAACGACACTTTTCCCCCCAGTAGTTTCGTAAATTGCACATTCTCACCCAATTTTAACTTAAGCATGGCCAGTAAAAGTGAAGCATGTGTCGTTACTGTGCACCTCTTTGCTAAATACAAATGTCATCTATTGAACAAAAACACCAAGGTATCATCCAAGAGCGTTGAAAATACGACACAGCCAAGTGGCAGAGCGCCAGAGCCAATAGGTAGTAGCCTGAGGCTCGAGGATCGATAAACTTTGCAAGTTAGTGTCATTAACACTGTTATTTTGAAGTTTTATCTAATTTGCTATTCCTATGTGTCAAAGTTATGAAGACCAAACGGAGTGTCAAAACACAAACCTTGGTTAGTTGGTTATAATAACTAAAGAGCATGCTCATCAGCTCATGGAAGCAAAAGATAGAACATAAAAAACAAAAGGCCTTATGGTAAAATTACAAATCCAACCCATCAAAGCAATAGTTTAAGCTAGCCTTAGAAGTGGCCATCAAAGATGGAAAATATTACAGGCTCTCCAGAGCCATCGTTCAACTTTGCGATAAAAGTAAAGTGCAGAGACCAGGTCCTCAACTAAAGCAATAGCGCTAGAACATGTGTAACCTTGTAAGACTCAAAGAATTTGAGCAGCAGTGTTTGTTTACAAAGACAGCTCTATGACTTTGCAAACCAAGCGATTCTGTTGAGCCCTCATGTGTTTTGATGTGTCAAAACTAACTTCAAAACTAACTAAAGAGTTGATTGGTTTTTAACAAACATGCAATGATATGACAAGTGTAAGAAGCTGGAATTGGAGTGGCAAGAAGAGGCAGTAAGACCGAAGTATGCCAACGGAAAATATGGAGAGGTAAGAGAAGCAACTTAGTTGTTGAGTATGTCGAAAGAAAAGAAAAAGAACAAGACAATAGGAAGAAGAATTCTGTATTGTAAATGCAAGGAAAGCAAATATAGAGAAATAAATACAAATCATTGTATAAAGGGCAACAGTACAATTCTAGCTAATCAATCTATAATCAAACTATATCAAATCCACCAAATCCTCTAAATATGGCGTGCATTCATATTCCAAATGTCAACAGCAAGAAGTTATAACCAAAATCAAAATACAGTTTTCCCAATTGGTATGACTATGCAAGACAAAAGAACGACCATTCCTAGCTTCATAAAATTGCCCAAAAGCATGTTCTTCTTAGCACAATCACGTTTCATATGATCATGCATGTTTTTGTCCAAATTCATGTCAATTCACTCACAACGACACCACCAAGCTGCACGCCTATTCCACTCAAGTCAAAAGTCAAAATATTCAAATTCAAATGATTTTGGGCCTTTGATAAATCTCGAAGGACAAGCCATGAAGATCAAGTTGAAATTTAAGTGTTTCAAGTGGAACGAGCATGCCACACAATCATTCCCACTCAAAGATCGTTCTTGGCAATACATCATCGTTCTAGGAAGTCGTGCATACTTCTGAAATTTTTGTGGACTTTTAAGGAGCCAATGGAACGACTGTTTGTGATGGTGACAACACGTTCGCGATGGTGGAACGATTATTCCAGAAACCCTAAAGTTGTACGAAAGTAACCGTTATGAAAGAAACGATCGTTCACGATGGTGGAACGATCGTTCTCCTGGGTTCTGCAGATTTTCAAAGTTGCATTAAATGCAACAATGACTCATTACTTCAAAGGGAAGAGACAAGCAATAAATAGAGCATGTTATTGCAAGGAAAGATAGAGATAATATCTGAGAAACAAAAGTCTTATTGAAAACATTCTCACATAATCCCTTAAGCTAAAAATCCAAATCAATTATCACCCTCTTGTACACATATTGAAAACATTTGAGAGTATTGTTCTTCTTGTGTGTTTAAGCCTCGTTTAAGAGGCAATCCTTCACAAACTTTTATTCAAATATATTGTGGGTGAAATCCTATAAATCTAGACGCAAAATCCTGTCAAACTAGTGTATTAGGTGAAATATAATTCTAGTGGAACTTCAAGAAGGTTGCCTTTAGATATGAGAATTTTGGCTTAGACCTAGGACCGGTCCTATAAGGCCTAAGCCAAAACCCAGACCGGCCCAATGAGGAGGGACTGATCCTAGGCCCAGGCCCAAACCCCCTCCCTAATTTCATTTAAACCACTGGCAAATATCCATAACCCCCTATTTTATATGAAATTGACAATAAATATAGGGGTTTAAATGAAATTTTATAGAAAAAAAGTGGACCGTTGCCTTAACGGTCAGTGCCAACGGTCAACTAACATTTTTTCTATAAAATTTCATTTTATGATTAAAAATGTTTTTTGTCCACAATATAGACCAATTAGTAAAGATACAAGTAGAAAGGTCATACAAAAACTTTATACTAAAATAAGAGATCAACTCAAAAAAGAATTTCAAAATTTTCGAAATATATCTATTACACTTACTTCAGACACATGGGCTACTAGATCAAAAACAGATTTTTTTTAGTGTCACAATGTATTACCTAGATCATAGTTGGCATTTATAATAAAAATTGATAGGTTCTAAACCATTATATGATAAACATAGTGTTGAGACTATTTATTTTACAATTATTGAAGTTTTGCAAGATCATTTATTAACTAAGAGAGTTGCTGCACTAACGCTTGATAATGCAACTGTTAACACCACGACAATTTCTTTATTTAAAAAGATATTGGATCCGCTTGGTGAAAGACATATTTTTTCACCAGAGATATGCTTGACACATCATCAATTTGATTATTAAAACGAGTTTAGAAGCTATACGTGTGAGGATTGAAAGGGTGCACACGACTATCTGGATTTATCACTAGTAGAAATACAAGATAGAATGAGTGCGTAATATATTGTCCCCAAGAGGAGCTGCCGATTCGACCATAGAAGTTATGTTGTGACATGTCTGTCCATCGAAACTCCATGTACTTGATGTTGCAAAGAGTTATGCCAACCGTAACACAAATTATAGAGTTCATCAACTAGAAGAACTATCTGGATGAAGTCATCAATGATGATGATTCGACGGTTTGCAGTATTTTTCATTCATTTCTTAAAGTTTTTTATGATTCTACTAATATATTAAGTGGTGTTTATTATCCTACTATTAATTTAGCATTAGATATTTTACTTCAAATTTCTAAAACTTTTGTTAAACATAGATATAATTCAGGCTTAATAGATATTGTTTCAGACATGGAAACAAAATACCGAAAATATTGGTTAGATATTCCGTTCTTATATGGATTAGGCCTTATTGTAGATCCTAGGTTTAAATTAAACATATTTAATTGTATGGTTACTGAGATAGACCAACATTTAGGACATGACTATAGTTTTTATTTTATAGAATTTAACAGAAAATTGGAAAAACATTTTTTCTTTATATCAGAATAGGTACAGTGGAAAGACCAGCAGAGACGACCAGCATGAACCTGATGAAGACATTTATCAAGAGGGATCGAGCATATAGACGTATATGGAACTTAGTAGCGGTGGTGGTGGAAGTAGCAACTCCAACTCGTACAGACATGGACCAAATGAGCTGCAATGGTATCTACAAATGGACATGTCCTACATGACCAAGAATGAGAAACACGAGATGGATTTGCTTCAATGGTGGAACCAAAATACAAGTCAATTCCTCATTATAGCCCAAATGGCATGTGACATTTTATCTGTGCCAGTTTCGATAATTGCATCCGAATTAACATTCTCAATTAGTGGTTGCATTGTTGAAAACAGAAGATACTCTTTAACCAATGAGATGGTTGAAGTCATAACATGTTTACAGGATTGGATTCATGCAAACAGAAGACTATAGCAACACCCTGAAGATCCCGAACTACTCGACCTCTTAAAAAACACAGATTTGGATGATGTAAATTAATAATTTAATAAAAATAAATTTATTTAATTGTTTATTTGTTTAAGTTTAAATTAAATTTGCACATTTTAGAGTGTGAATATTCTATTTATGTTAAAATTAAATTATCTCTTTAAATCAAAACCATTATAACCATTCATTTATATTTATTTATTAATTAATTACAAAATTTACGAATCACCCCTGAAAAATTACTAAACCCCCTTACATAATTTTCAATTTAACCAAATATATAAAAAAAATTAAGAGGGTAAAAGAAATTTTCCAAGCCCATGGCCGATCCTAAGGCCGGTATGGGCCCTATGAATTTTCATGGTCCTAAGACCGTTTCTTCCTATTGGGC